AGAAACGCGGCCCGCAGGGGGACAGCTCAAGCGCGCCCGGGCTGTCCCGCTGCAGGCGTGCTCCAAGGCTGTGCTCCGGTCTGCTCAGCAGACCAGGGAGACGGGGAGCAGCTTTTCTTGCCCTGGAGGATGCGGGCGGCAGGACCGCGGCTCATCTGGGCGTCCCGCCGCTCCCGTCCTCCAGGGCGAGAAAAGCCCCGTTTGTAACTGCGGATCCGACGTAAGTCAGATCCGCGTAACTCGGGGACTGCCTGTAGTTAAAATTGCCATCAGAGCTTTCTTGCGCAAGAGAGTGTCCACACTGCCATGGATGCTCTTGCGCAAAAGAACATCTCTTGTGCAAAAGCACATGGCCGTGTGGACGCGCTCTTGTGGAAGATTTTTTGCACAAGAACTCTTCCGCAAAAGAGTTCTTGAGTGAGATGCCACCAGTGTAGACATAGTCTTGCATTTTAAAATGTAGTGTAATAGAAGAAAGATTCTAGATGTATTTCAGAAGATTAGGGGCCTATGATCAATTAGCATAAATCAGTGTCATTTCAAGGAAATCAATGGAACTATGTTGATTTAACGAGGTTAAGATCTGGTCCTTTCTGTCTAGATGTTAAAGCACTTCTTAAAAGCTTGAACTAATTTAGAGATTGCAATAAAATAGTGTCTGAACCAGATTAGCAAATAAAGTCTGTCCCTAGATGGGGGTGGGACACCAGGCACAGGGGCTAGGGCAATTCCACCTGGTGCAGGCCTTCTCCCCACCTGGCCCCACTCCCAAGCTCAACCCCTGCTCTGCCCCTTACCTCCTCCCTGAGCAATGCAAGCCGGGAATTACCTAGGGGCCAGGCTCAGGGGTTGCCCCTCAGCATGGCGGCGAGAACCAAGCTGAAGCAAGCTAGCAGCCTGTTCCATTTTGCCCCAATGCCCTCTCCCAAGTCCTCTCAGCCTGTGGAGCAAAGCCCATAGGATGGTTGAGGTGGTCTCCATGGAGGGTCACAAAGCAGAGGGCCTGGAACAGCCGTGCCAAACCATCCTACGGGCAGGACAGCTCTGTAGCAAATGAAAACTGAAAAGCAAATTGTCTTTGTTTCATAACTGCGCATTTTACCTTGCTGAATAGTATCCTCAATAATCTTTTTATACAAACTCATGGCTCTCTGATCTGTTACTATAACAACATCTTTCTCCAAGCTCTGCAACATGGCTGCCATCGCAATGGCTCCTAAAGGGCCATCATTCTCTTCAGGTGGCTGATGGTTGAAGTGAGTAGGCAATCCAGTGGTTATCAGCACTGATCGAGCATGTGAAAGAGACAGACAAGCTTTTAGCAGCTCATCTTGGCAGCACAAATGTTTTATGCCCCGGTTTCCTAAAAATAAAAAATGACTTTGTTAAAAGATGGTACTAGATTTTTAGTATATTAACACCTATTGGAGGTTCTGTCAGGACCAATTCCTGACAAGGTCAAAAAACAAAACAAACAAAAAACAGCTAATAATCCCTTGCCAGGCCTAGTTGTACCTAGTGGCTCCTTTACAAAAACAGAAAAGGACGGGTTGGGCAGCCTCTCTCATCTCAGACTGAGCTCTGGAACATGAAGAATTCAGGTCTGGATTCAGATTTCTGAAACTCCAAATGGATAAGGGCTTTATTTTAATTTTTTTATAAAGAAGAAGCCGATGGGTTATTAGTTCCACTCATAATAAATATTGAGTCAATAGATACATTCAGAAAGAGAGCACACCCATATTATTGAGTCAATAGATACATTCAGAAAGAGATACATTCCAAAATCACTGGAAAATGCAGAAGTACTGGGGATAAGAGTTTTGGTAAGAGATGAGAGTGAATTGAGGAAAAAGAAGAGATGTGGGACGGGAATGCAGGATATAAACTTTGAAAATATAACAAAAAAGACTCTTGGGCAGAAGGGATCTTGTTCATTGAGCCTCTTATTAGGGAGCCACTTTTCCCTTTTAAATAATTCATGTGTCTTGGCCCAAAGCTGTTCCGTAAAGAACAAAATCAGGGTCAGAGAAGATCCAAAATTCCAGACCCCAGTCATTTTACACAAATGAGATCAAGCACATTCCTGTGTACATGTTCAAATACACAGATAAACATTTAAACTCAGGCTCATGCACATAATCATAGAGGTAAGCATAGGAATACTGCACCAGGACAGGGCAAGGCAGTGGATTTGTAAATGGGCATTTCACACTGTGGTTATAGGCTGCCTCCTAAATGGGAAAGGGAAGATGTCATTCAAACTTACTCAGACCTTTTAGCTCTAGCCTGTTTCTTCATCATGAATGACCAAACCAGTAATTCCTGATGAACTGATTGAAGCATTGAGTGATGTGGCTTGAGGGAGAGAGTGCAATTAACAGGCTCTGATGCCAGTATAAGAAACTCAGTTCCCTGGAAGAAACTGGAATACAGGGCCTAGCACACAGGGACCAACCTGGCTAAGGTTTTTTGGCTATACCGAATGATAACTGTTATCTGACTGGATAACCATTCTCAGAGAGTAGTTATTAATGATTCACAATCATGCTGGAAGGGCATAATAAGTAGGGTTCCACAGCGGGCTGTTTTGGGACCAGTTCTGTTCAATATCTTCATCAGTGATTTATATATTGGCATAGAAAGTTTGCTTATTAAGTCTGAGGATGATACGAAGCTGGGAGGGATTGCAACTGCTTTGGAGGACAGGGTCATAATTAAAAATGATCTGGACAAACTGGAGAAATTGTCTGAGGTAAATAGGATGCATTTTAATAAGGACAAATGCAAAGTACTCCACTTAGGAAGGAACAATCCATTTTACACATACAGAATGGGAAGTGACTGTCTAGGAAGGAGTACTGCAGAAAGAGATCTAGGGGTCATAGTGGACTACAGGCTAAGTATGAGTCAACAGCATGACACTGTTGCAAAAAAAGCAAACATGATTCTGGAATGCATTAACAGGAGTTTTGTGAGCAAGACACGAGAAGTCATTCTTCAGCTCTACTTTGTGTTGATTAGGCCTCAGTTAGAGTACTGTCCTGTTCTGGGCACCACATTTCAAGAAAGTTGTGGAGAAATTGGAGAAGGTCCAGAGAAGAACAACAAGAATGATTAACAGTCTAGAGAACATAAGTTATGAGAGAAGACTGAAAGAACAGGGATTGTTTACTTTGGAAAGGAGAAGACTGAGAGGGGACATGATAGTGGTTTTCAAGTATTTAAAAGGGTGTTACAAGAAGGAGGGAGAAAAATTGTTCTCCTTGGCCTCTGATGATAGGACAAGAAGTAATGGGCTTAAACTGCAGCAAGGGAGGTTTAAGTTGGACATTAGGAAACACTTCCTAACTGTTAGGGTGGTTAAACACTGGAATAAATTGCTTAGGGAGATTGTGAAATCTATATTTCTGGAGATATTTAAGAGCAGGTTAGATAGACATCCATCAGGGATGGTCTAGATGATGCTCGGTCCCTTCTAGTTCTAGTATTCTATGAATGTTGAATAATAACAACAATATAGTCAGATTGAGCCTCATGTGGCTTGCATCTTTTTTGGAGGTCTATGAACTATGAGTGGAGTGCGTGGTCAGTGAAAATGAAGTGATTTCTTTGGTCAGAAGTGCCTCAAAACAGTTGGGTGCAGTGACAGATTAGTTACTGGGCTAATGGGCCAGTGTCCAGGGGCGTTGGTCAACTGGAGGCCCACAGAAAAATAAGTGACCTCACACCCCAACTTTAACAGCCCAGTCCTTCTGCCAGGGAGTGGGATCAAGATGCAGAGCTTGTTCTGCTCTGCCAGTCCTGCTCCCTGGAAGAAGCGCTGGCATGTGGAAGAAGGCAAACTTCTGTGCCTGATCCCCACCCCCCAGCTGGCATGTCAGGCAAACAGAGTGGGGCACACACCCAATCCCTAACTCTGCTCCCCAGCAGAAGTACAAGGTGGGCAGGGGAAAGCCCAGTGTCCTGATCCCATTTCTCTGCAGAAGTGCTGGGTGGGCAAAGTGGGTCAAGCTCCTGCACCCAATTAGGAGTGCCAAATGGGGACTCCAGGCAGGAGGGCTGGGGAACGGGCCCCACAAAAGCTTAATCTGCCTTTGGTTGAATGTTACAATGCAGATGACCTCATCTATCCAGTGTCTGTCCTGCAATGTCAGTCTGGTTCAAGGAGGGGAGCAGCCAATAACCTGTTCCTCAGTCCTGGCACTAATGACACAGAGATAGTGAAAGAGCAGAAGAACAGGACAATCAGCAAAACACAACACTTCCCATAAGGTAACTGCAGTGACATGGTCTTTAGTGGACTTTTAGAGGATTGGGAAGACAATTGTTCAGTCTGAAGCCCTGCTGGTCTCATATCATGTGTGTCTGTATGGAACGCACATTTGTGTGCATGCATGTGTGTGAGAAAATGATGAGGAAAGGAGAGATTGGAAGGACTCCCTGAACAACCCTGAGGGATGGGTCATTATCTATGTTCCCTCTAACCTGCACAGCCTATTAAGTGCCACACAAGTAGTCAGTGTGGCATGGGAAGAAATGCATCTCCCCCAGCCCTGGCCCTACAGCAGAGGGAAGAGGTGCCCCCTCTCTACCTCCTGAAAGCCAACCCTGGCCTGGATCTGCAGCTGTGGAAGAAATGCTCCTCCATTTGACTAGGAACCCTCCTACTGTTACAAAATCCATAGGCTTTCAACCTGCCCATGATCCTATCCCTGTTTCTGCCCCAGCCTTACCTAAGCCTTATTCTAGCCCAAGTCAGCTGCTCCTGTTCCTGATCTGCTCTAGTCCTGTACCCAGACCTTTGGACTGAATCCCATCCAACTTCGATTTCATCCTACTTCCAAAGTATGACTATGATATTGAGTTGGCATATCTATGTTTCAGTGATGTTTGCGGCCTCATCCCAACTCTATCTCCAGCTTCAACCCTTGGTATCTGTTCTAGGCCACTACTCTAACCAGCAGGCCTGACTGTCTAGAACTCAGATCTGCAAATGAGATTAGGAATGAGAACTGAACTGGTGTCTCCCTGTTTTCCGGTGCAAACTCCATACTTTAGCCTGGTCCAAAGTAGGTGGGAGGAGAGAACTAACAATAGTCAAACAGAATAATCTAACATAGGAATTTTTTGTAATATTTGCAATTACCTTTTAGTTTTTACTACTTAAAATAAATTACGCAATAGATAAATGAACTAAATGTGCCATACTAATTTAGTATGGCAAATCCTGTTTCTAGAATTACCAATTTTTCAATAACTCAAGAAAAATGTTAATTTTTTTTTACCTGGATCAATTCCAATAAGACTTTCTAGATTTCTTATCTTTTGTATAGCTGTTGCTGATGCAATGCTATAATGCAAAGGATTTTGAGAAATGCAGTGAACCGTAGGGATTTCTTTAGAGTTATGAACTGCAGCATCTTCATTCTTCAAGTCAGTAATAAACGTGCAGTCAGGAGAATGAGTAAAAGCCAGTGGAGACTCTACAATAGATGGCAAGATTTCAACTCAATATGCAATACTAATAACAAATAAAAATGTTATTGATAAAACACCAGAATGATAACAATAGAAAAGTTACATCCTAAAACATATAGATGATCCCTACCCAAAAAGCTTACAATATAAGATGACAAGTGACACATAAAGGACATGAAGGGAGCTAATCAAATATATGCATATGTAATATTGTATATGTATGTAATATGTAGACAGACAGACAGACAAGTAAATAGATAGATGCCCAAAAGTATGATAAATAAAATAAATGCAAACTCTCTCATGTACGCACAGTTTGGGTAAAATACCAGCAGCTGAATGTCCTGACTGACGTGGAACTCTGATGATATTTTATGGAAGAAGAAAGGAGTAGGATGCAATACAATTGTGCACAGATAAATTACCATATATAGTGGGTCAGCCATGAGGGCTCCTAGTTCCTCTGTACTTCTGGCTAAAATCACGACCACAAGGAACAAAAACTTGAAGAACATTTGGAATTGTGAGCAGTTTGCCATTTGGTTTGATGGGAAGCCCTCAATCAGTTAAACATTAAATTGAGATCTTTAGGGATGAGGGGAAAGGCTTCTGCACTGACTTGAATTGGTTAAGGAGTGCCTTAAAGAATATTGCTGTTGTAGGATGTTCAAAGACCAGAAAACCCTCAATCTGCAAGTGGAACACCTTGATGGCAACTAAATGAACCTTTAACAAAGCTTAGGCAAAGTCCCGGTGATTTCAGAATTAGGAGCTAGTAAACAGCAAGAGAAAATGATCAGTTATGGAGCATTGGGTGCAACAAGACTGGAAGAGAAGAACACAAAAAGAGACATATTTGGTGAGACCAAAGTTCCATCTAGCCCAGTAGCTAATGCCAACTGCCCCTGAGGGAATTAACAGAATAAGCGATCATCAAGTGAGCCTTCCCCTGTCACTCATTCCCAGAAAGAGATTCCATTTCTGCAAGTAAGTCTTTCATATGGTGGAATTCCTGATATTTAACAGAACTGACTGAATTCTGGGAGAACATTTCTGTTCTAGGCCCAAGAACCAGCATGGAGACAGGACTTGAGGTGCAGGATATGGGAGTGCATTCTGCAGCCCCACTCCTGGGTCAAGAAGTTGTTCATTAGAGGAAGGTGCAACAGTATATGTTGCCAGATGGGTACAGGTTGGGATCCACATCTGTCTCTCTGGAGTTATGAAAATAACTGTTTTTTTATTTCAGTTTGAATAGGGCTTTGTAGATCGGTGCAATTGAAGGGAAAGTATATAAATAAGAGTTTGAAGGCAAGGCAAAGAGGTCTACCTCTGGAAGTCCCCAGGTAAGGCAGATCTCTTGAAAGGCCATGTCGATTAGCTATCATGTGCTCTTGACAGTAGATTCTGTTCCATGAAACTACAATGGTGTTCTGTGATCTCACAGATAGACCACAGAGATATTTATTCACAGAGCTATGCACCAGTTCCACAGAGTGTTCACATAAGATTCATGATTTTGTTACTTCTTGGCAGTTTTTACATTACATGACCATGCCATTGTCCTACATAACTCTAACTAATTGGCCCCAGATCAGAGGTAGGAAACAAAAGCAGGTATAAAGGACTGCTTAAAGTATGTTGATATGTAGTGACAACTTTTGAGGAGTCCATCTGCTTTGGGCTTTATGATTTTGCAGATATGATGTTGCTGACTCCTTTTGTTTGCAACATTGATGACCTGGGAATTAGGAGAGGACTGTGAGAGCAAGTACACTGAGTCCTTGGCTGGGCCATAGTACTTTTTACTGAGCCTGTTACAAGTGAGAGAGATGATGGCTAGAGTCTACAACATTGTGTGGGCTGGTGAGAGAATGGCATAATTAATGGGTAAGGCTACCTTGCCCTCAGTGGAGGTGTGCAAGATATCCACCAAGGACTGCTTTTGTTCCTGGATTTCTTCCAAAGAAATCTATAAAGCCTCTATTATGCATTTAATCAAGTTCTTAAAGTTGTCTATGTAGGATGGCAGAGAAGGGACAGTTGTCTCTTCTGGGGCAAACTTCATCTGAATTCTTGAGCCTCTGATGGCTCCTCTTGAATTTGGTATGGTGGCTCCTAAGCTAGGTCCTCATGTTGGGACCTCTTGTGTAAGAATATCCTGTAGATATGGTCTTCATACAGAGCCCAAGGTCTCCAGAAAGACCCCTGGAGAAGGGTATAAGGGAAAGGCATTGCCCATCTAGGATGGTCTTGCCAGAGCTATTGGATCAAGTGTCTAATGCCTGAGGTCTCCTCTTCAGGGAATACCTCAAGAGGAGGAGGGTGCAAGACAGTATAGTCCTGCATACGGACCTCTGAATCAGAGGAGGTATCCATGGGGAGCAGGTATACGAGACAGAGGAAGGCATTGCCTTCCCAAACTGCCAGATGTGGCCCTGCCCACACTCTGCCTCCAGAACACTCGCTGCTTCATTGGGCTCCTGGACTGCTCCCAGGCTTGAGCCACACTGAGGCTGGGGTCTCTGGGTCAGTGAGCCCTGCATGTGCTCCAGGGCAGAAGACTGGTGATGCCCACCCTCCCTACGCTCCAGGTCTGGGTGGGGAGGCTGGGGCCATGTGCTACCCACCCACTCTGTGCTTTGGGGCCAGGGAGGCTGGGACTGTGTCCCACCCTCCCTCCCTGGGCTCCAGGGCTGAGGAGGCTGGGACTGTGTAGCACCTATCTTCTCTGGGCTCCAGGGTCAGGGAGGCAACCCGATCCGATATATTCCCTGATATCACTACAGTCTCAGGTATAGATCCATCCAGCAGTACAATCATGATTTCTAGATCCTCCTTGACTTCTAATACTAATGTGGACCCCAGCACAGAATCCTTTAGCTCTGTCACTTGACATGAGAGAGGACACCTCCGTGGGTGGTGGGAAGGCCACATGCTGTCTGCCTTCCCCTTGTTCCAGGGCTGGGGAGGCTTGGGCTGCTTGCTGCCTACCCTCCCCATGCTCCAGGGCCTGGAAGGCTCACATGGGGCTTGGAGACCTGCTCCTACTGTGGTTTGTGCAGGGTGAGCCCTGGAAGCCTGTCCCTGTGTTGGGGGGCTTGGCTCCTGCAGGAAGGGGAGCATCGGGTGGAAGAGGTCGAGTTGCCTCCCTTAGACCTAGAACAAGGGGAAGGCAGACAGCATGTGGCCTTCCCACCACCCACGGAGGTGTCCTCTCTCATGTCAAGTGACAGAGCTAAAGGATTCTGTGCTGGGGTCCACATTAGTATTAGAAGTCAAGGAGGATCTAGAAATCATGATTGTACTGCTGGATGGATCTATACTTGAGACTGTAGTGATATCAGGGAATATATCGGATCGGGGTGGAAGACACGTGCCAGTGGAAAGTCTTGTGGCACCTCTTAGGAAGGGGAACTAAGATTCCTCCATAACTTGAAGATCTTCACGAGAGAGGTACCTAGAAGCTACTAGTGAACCTGGAGAGTGTTCCTTTAGATGAAATATATCCAGCAGTACAAGATATGGTACCAGAAAAGACCACAGTCATCCTGGAGAGATCTAGCTGTTGATGGACAGTACCTGGTAAAATAATTTCTTAGAGTTATTTCATCTGAAAGACTCTGATTTTGATACCAGTGAGACAATAGCTCAGAACTGAATAACTGTAGGTATTGTAGTACTCAGATTTTCAGTATGCAGTACCTTGGCACGTCTTTGAAGAAGTCTTCAGCAATGCTGGTGCTTTGGTACTGTGTCTAGTGGGAGTCTTGCTAGTACGTACAGGTGGATATGAGATCTTCTTGCTCCCAGATCTAAGCAGACATCTCTCTTTCCTAGATATTCTATCAATGGAGTGGGATATCTTATGTTTGGTAGCTCTCGGTGTGACTGAAGTCATCTCCTGGTTCCTCGAGGCTGTAGTCAATTAAGTCTCTGAAGCACTCTGCACAGCTGAGTCTAATATATGATGTGTGTCTGTGGGAAATCTGATCCTATGGATTTATAGGAGCACTCTACAGAGAGCAGTGTCAGACAGTCTTCCCTTAGTTTCTTGAAGGCTGTGTGGGACATGAGCCTTTCCAAGAAAGGATTGGCAGCTGGAGTGCCTATCAGTTAAAGGAGAAAGACCTGTGGCAGGACTGGCAGAGCTTAAATCTTGAGACCTTGGGCAGGAAAGCTGCCAGTACAGAAGGTTACCAGTCAAGAAAGGGAGAGGGCTCAAAGAATGATTGGGGGGAGATGGTGGAAACCTACCTTCAAAGCACACCTGGGCTATAACATGTAAATAAACAACAGCAAAAACAAAACAAATATCAGCAACTAAAAATTTAATTATTATACAGGAGTAAAAGGACAGAATACTGTGTCAACCAGATAGCTGATATCACAGAACTCCAGCTCAAACCATAGACAGTTAAGAAAGAACTGGAGTAGCATGGGTCTACTACTCCCTACATGCCCTTGTACTGGAGCATGAGGAGGAGTATAGTGCAGGTGCAGACCTGCAGGCACTTCTAGCCAAAAGATCCGCAATCAAGAGTGCATGAGTATGTAATGCACCCACAGAGAAAATAACCCAAAGATGAACTGTTCTAAAAGAAAAGGTTGAAAAGGGTCCATCAAAGGTTTTCCAATGAACTCTAGTTTAGGATAATGAAGATTAGACCCACTAACCACATCTCACAAATAAAAACTGTCTCAGTGTACAGTGAACTACATAAAAATGAAACCACTATTATCTCAACGCTAAAAAGTCCATCAAATATAGTACATACTGCAGTTGCTGACTGCTTCCACTCCTGTTACTGCACAGGCCCAAAACACTGGAATATCCCCAGGGTGAGACTGAACTGGATCTCCATAGTCTGGATTGGAAAGATTTTGGATCCCTAATAGGCCTAAGATTGACAAATAGTGAAACAACATTAAATTGCAGTAAAGCAATAATGGCATAATGCTGAGCTCAACAAATGAAACTATGTTAATATCGCGGTATGGAAAGCAGCAAAAGCAAGGCCAATCTATGACTCGCATGGCTTGTTAGGTTCCCTTTGCATGCATGTATGTGTTCTCAGTTCCTGCCTTAGAATTACACTCCTTACATTATTTTGTATATTAGTAAAATACACATGAGGACATGTTATTACGTATTATATCTGGCTAGATTGTAGGCAAATGAAAACCTGCTGAGTACTCTCTGAGGGTACGTCTAGACTACAGGCCTCTTTCGAAAAAGAGCATCTAGACTACAAGCAGATTTTTCGAAAAAGCGAGCCGCTTTTTTGAAAGAGTCTAAACGCTCTCTTTCTAAAAAGCACAGTTTGCAATTAATAGCGCCTTTTTTCAAGAGTACTTTCAAAAAAAGGCGCTATTCCTCATAAAATGAGGTTTACCACAATAGAAAAAACTGCCACGTTCTTTCAATTTACTTTCAAAAGAACGCAGCTGCAGTCTAGACGCAGGTGAAGTTATTTCGAAAAATGGCTCCTTTTTTCAAAAAAACGCTGTAGTCTAGACACACCCTGAATGTCAGAGTTCACAGGAAACATTTTACAATATCTGATCTGTTCACTCAAGAGATAATTCCATAATAGTAGTGGTGATTTATTCCTGTTTGCCAGTACAAGCATGTTCCTACCTATAGCACATTCTCCATAGCTTTGTTTAGCCCATTTTCATGAACTAAATAGATAGGCCTCCACTACTTTCCTCATGTTCCTACCTATAGCACATTCTCCATTGCTTTGTCCAGCCCATTTTCATGAACTAAATATATAGGCCTCCACTACTTTCCTTTGGCAGTTATTTCACTGCCTTTTAGATCTCACTTATCACACATTTCCTGTTCTTCAGCCTAAATCTTCTTTTGCTTGATGTAATTCCATTACTTCTAGTTTTATTGTCTTGGATCATTCTAAAAACAACTGCTCTTTCTTTTTTGTGATTATGTTCTTCTGCTAGTTTTCTTACTTTCCCCTCCCCTGCCATCTGCTTTAGACCAGGTCTTTGCTATACCCGGAAGGCTGACTTAAGGTATGCATAAATAATGTAGCTGGAATCAATGCAATTTAAGCCAAGCCAAGCTTGGTGCCATTTCCACAGCAGGAGGTCGATGGGAGCAAATGCTCCTGTTGACTTTCCTTACTTCCCATGAATCAAGGAGTACTGGCGTTGACAGGTGCACCTCAATGTTTGATTTAGTGGACCCTTACTAGACCCACTAAACTGTAGGCCAGAAGATCAATCTCTGGCACCTTAGACTTCATTTGAGTAAGCCCATGTGACTATTAAAAAAAATTCTGCTCAGAGACCAACAAAAATAGCCTCAATAATTTTTGTTGTTCTCTCAACTCACCCCAATTTGTAGTTAGTTTTCTTGGAGCTAAATACCCACATCTGTATGTATTATTCTAGGTGTATGGCCATTAGTGCTTCATGATTTGATACAGCTATAACTTCACTGGCTTCTTTATTATTTACATATAATAATAAAAGGTTATTTCTATTATAATTTCTACTGTTGCTCTTTGATCTTTTACTTTCCACACATAATCTTACTGTTGAATAACTGTTCCATTTTCCCCTTCATGAATGAGCTTACATTTTTCTATGCTAAAACTCATTGTGAGTATTCCTGTCTATATTCTGAAACTGTCCAAGTCAGTTGTATTATTTTCTCATTCCTCACAGTTATTCATAGTACATATTAGTTCAATATCATTTTAAATGCAATGTGATGTTTACTTTCAAGTTCATTAATGAAGATGCTAAATAATAACAGGATTATAATGATCCCCTATCTCCAAATAGACATCATCCAAATCTGCCATTATTGTTATCCTTTCCAACACTGGGACAGTCCATACATTGAAGACAAACCACATGATGTTTCCAAATAAGATTTAATCAAATCCGTCAATGAATTCCAAAGAGACTACATTACTTATTTCCCTGTTCCATTCATCCATCTCTTTATCAAACACATTTTCTGTGTTCAGTCATATCAAATCCTCACTTTCAGTGTAACTGAACTGTAAACAACTCAGTATGTATATGCCTATGAAAAGGATTAGATTTTTATGTAGCCACTTAAAATTTAGGCTGAAGTTTATTGTCCACCATGCATTTGGGCAAATTTTTTCTTTGGCTTTGTGGCCAATATATAGGAATGTATAGAAAGTACACTGACCAGGATTACCAATGTGAACTGGTGCTCCATGTGAGTCTTTCAGTGGATAAGTAGCTTCCACAACTGCGTCTAATTTGTCTTCGGGAATCTGTCTCATTGTAACCACTAAATTGCAGCAAAAACTAGCAACTTTGCAGCAAGGTATAGCTGTCTGACAAAATTTAAAAATAACCAAGGCATTAGCAGGATTTGAAGAACTATCAAAGCTTATATTTAGTTCTGAAATGACTAAGCACCCTTGAAATTTTAAGGGGCACATTTTAACACATATTTTTAAAGGACTGTGAGTAATATTCTAATTAGCATCCAATCAAAATAATCCATTTCCTATAACAATTAATCATGAAGAAACCAGACATTCTACCCTCTATCTCTTGTAATTAGCACGTATTACAGTTATCTTCTGCACCATTAATTGCATTTACCAAATTAAGGATTTAGCTGTTAGAATGTAACACAAATCTTGGCAAATCCAGACACACTGTGGACCCTAGGGCTGCGTCTAGAATGGCAAGGTTTTCTGCAAAAGCAGTTGCTTTTGCGGAAAAACTTGCCAGCTGTTTACACTGGCCGCTTGAATTTCCGCAAGAACACTGACGATCTAATGTAAGATTGTCAGTGTTCTTCCGCATATACTATGCTGCTCCCGTTTGGGAAAAAGCCCTCTTGTACAAATGTATTTGAGCAAGAGGGCCAGTGTAGACAGCTAAAAACTGTTTTGCGCAAAAAAGCCCCGATCGCGAAAATGGCGATCGGGGCTTTCTTGCGCAAAACTGTGTCTAGATTGGCATGGATGCTTTTCCGCAAAAAGTGCTTTTGCACAAAAGCGTCCGTGCCAATCTAGACGCTCTTTTCCGCACATGCTTTTAATGGAAAAACTTTTCCATTAAAAGCATTTGCGGAAAATCATGCCAGTCTAGTCGTAGCCTAGGTGTGTAGCCCTAAATGCAGGTTTTCTCTCATTCTGTGTGGGCCAAAAAGTACAAAGAAACAAATCTACTGGACATAACTCTTCCTGAATGCTGGCATACAGGGAAACTGCATATAGCAATGTTTGCAAAGATCTTACGACTTCTTATCGTCGGGGCGGCCCTAGACTAGCTGTCAGCAACTGGCGCCCTAGGCGAACCATGCAATCGGCACCCCCACCTCCGAACCCCTCAATGATATTGTGCCACCATTTGGTACCCCATTTAACTTTGCGCCCTAGGCAACTGCCTAGTTCACCTGTATGGACAGGCCGTCCCTGCTTATTGTAAGATCTGCCAAAATTGGCAATCCTCCATTTCCCTAGCAGAAATGCACAAATCTCATTGGATCAGGGTGCAACAAATGCATAATACAGCCAAGCTTTTTAACTAAACAGTAAAACCATGTGGTGATACTAAACGTGGTTTATTAAGACTACATCAAGACTGCAGACTTCTTTCAGAAGAGATCCTCCAGAAAAACTTCTTTTGAAAGAGAGCACCCACATAGCAAAAGCGCATCAAAAAAGCAATCTGCTTTTTCAAAAGATAGCATCCACATTGATTGGATGCTATCTCGCATTTAAGTTGTGATTACAATGGACGGAATGGCCACCAGGGCACCTATGCTTTTTCATCTTCCCTCTTCTTTCGAAAAAAACCCCTTCTTTCCCATCCACACACGCTTTTTTCCGAAAGAGTGCTTTCAGAAAAAGGCTTCTTCCTCGTAGAAAGAGGTTTACTGCTGTTGGAAAAACCCCTGAGTTCTTTCGACTTTCTGTCAAAAGAACGCAATTGCAGTGTGGACTTAAGTGTAGTTTTTCTGAAAAAATAGCCATTTTTCCGGAAAAGCTCTGCAGTGTAGACATAGCTTGTCAACATTGTGTATATTAAAATATTCTGTAGTATAGGTTTCATTATACAAAAATGTGCTCATGTAGCCCTATCTGAACCTTGATGTAATTTAAGTTACTATATGCTTACCTTGTACATGCTTATGTTGCATTTCTCCTTAATGTTCCTTAGAGGAGCACCAATATTGTGGACTGCCTCTTCAAATGAGAAACTGCAGCCTAAGTAAAAAGTCACCATATCTTTAAGTTGATCAGAATAATCCTTCAGATTTGTCAAAGTGCCAGTACAAGCTCCATATTCATATATCCTATACCGCAGACAATCAGTTCTAATGAAAAAAAGGAAGAGCTTTCAATGTCACAATTAGCACAATTTGTTAAGCAAAATGAAATATTTCATGAACATTTTTTGGCTAAATTGACATTCATGAAGTAGTAAAGCTCAGGATTTTTCCTGTTGTGTCAATTTCTTTTTCTTCTTGGTGATAATGTAATCACACAAAAAACTCCAAATCCCAGTTAACCTACCTTTTTGTAACTGTTGAGCTTTAATATGGGTTGCATATGTCTTGTGCGCAGATGTTAGGGATTTTCCCCCCCCTCTATGGTACCAGTCAGTGTGACTTGAGAGCCCTTTGTCATCATGCATCACCAGTATAAGAGAGCACAGCTTCCAATGAACAGTCATAATTCCTTCATACCAAACTCTTACTTACCTGCTATGAGAATTATTGCTCAGAGAAGGACATTTCCATTCACCTGGTTTACTTCTGTACAGCAGTGGGAGAGGTCCATCATTTGCATGGCAAAACTTTTCAAAGTCATCAGCAAGGGATTTGTGCAAAATCACAACATTTGTGTGTTTATAGCCTTAAAGCATTAAAGGGAACAATTATCAGCTATTAATCCAAATGTTAATATACATGACAGTAATATTTAAATATGGATCTTATGTAGAGATTCTTCTCCCTCAAAGAAGAGAATTTTTAAATATAAGGCAGACCACTATATTTAAATAATTTTTCAATGTTTTTGGAAAGACTGTTTATAAAATCACTTCTAGGTACACTCTGCATAGTCAATATCTATTGCAATAATTTTAGTAGTATAAGTACTTGGCATTCACAGGTCTCAGAGATGGCTTTAGGGATGTAAAATCCTGATTAATTAGTTAAACCTTAGGTTTAACCAGTTATCCTATTAATTGGGGTCCCACTCCCTCTCCCCCCCAATGCAGGGCTGGCAGCAGGAGCCAGCCATGCAAGGGGGGGCAGTAGGCTGCTGCTTTCAACCCCCTTGCGCATGGGGTACCAAGCTTCTACTCCTGGCCCCCGTGGGGGGGAGCTGCCTTTTGACCCCTCAAGGGGCTGGAGCTACCCTCTGCTCACAGTGGGCTGTGTGTGTGTGGCTGCTCCCAGCTACCAGTTAACTGATTATCCATTCATACATCCCTAGTGGCTCTTCTCTAATAAACCATTTTATGGAGAAACCAAAAACCTACTGTGACTATGATTAAATAGTCTGACAAATTAATATTTTTAGAACAGATTATCTTATTTGATGTAAATATTGGCATGGAAATAAAAAAATACAATGTTTTGTACATGCTGCATTTTATTATTCTTGTGTTAATGACAATGTTTTGTACATGCTGCATTTTATATTCTTGTGTTAATGAAAAACTGCAACTCAAAACCCATCTAATAAGAAAAGAACTTTCATCATACAGCCTATTTTTCACAGGCATTTGAAACTGGGCCTTGAAAATGTACTTTGGGTTGCAATTTACCATGAAGGGTTTTCTCCCAGGAGTGAAATTTTGTCTGTTAGGTCAGATACAAGTCATTTCAGCTATTTCTAAATTATTGGAGAGAAAGGAATAGAATTGTTACAGTTTTAGATACGTGTCTGTAATCAACTCAAAACCAGCTTTAATTTAAAACACGTCATTTTTACAAGCTGCTATTCTGTAATAGGACTCAAACAAATGAGAACAAATCAAAAAAGCAGATACTCATCTGTAAGTAGCAACATCTAATATCTTTTATTTTTTCCATATGTAATGCTCATTGACCATAAACAGGAATGAAGTCAAAGGAGCAGGTCTGGTCTGCAGTATAAAATACACAGATTAATAGTCCCTAAAGCCCCAATTCTTAAAGATATTTAGATGCTGCTGTACTCAGTGTTGAAATATCTAAGGGTATGTCTACACTACCCTGCTAGTTCGAACTAGCGGGGTAATGTAGGCATACCGCACTTGCAAATGAAGCCCGGGATTTGAATTTCCCGGGCTTCATTTGCATAAGCGGGGCGCCGCCATTTTTAAAACCCCGCTCGTTCGAACCCCATGCAGCGCGGCTACATGGGGCATGAACTAGGTAGTTCGAACTAGGCTTCTTAGTTCGAACTACCGTTACTCCTCGTGCCTCATCTTCCTCCCCAGCACCAGGATGTCTGCCCTCAAGATGATCACAAGGTGTACCTTGTTAAAGCTGGTGCTCTCAAATTTGGTTGTCCAAGCTAATGTGGCCAAAGAAGTTGCACATGGCCTTGTGGACATCTTATCACCAGCAGGAACCTCGAGAGTGATCTTACCTTTGCAGGCAGGCAATCAATCAGGGTACTATGGTAAACCCCTACCTCTCTCCCTATTACAGCAAAGCACACAGGGTATGCCTACACTACAGGCCAAAGTCGAATTAAGATACACAACTTCAGCTATGTTAATTGTATAGCTGAAGTCGAAGTAGCTTAACTCGACTTTTGGCATTATTTACACAGCAGAAAGTAAAAGGCTGCTCACATGTAAATAGACTTTAATGACTCTGCATATTAGTATTTTTGGGATGTGCCAACCAGTGCAGCATGAACAGTGAAATGTACTGGTAGTAGTACCTATTAAAGTGCTTATGGGTCCCTCCTATATCTATCAATGTTCAAGCATATTTGGAGGGTTTGGCTATAGAAGATGGCATTGCATCAGGGACTCACTTAGTTCATTCCACTGCTACTGCAGTGTAACAGCATTACCTAATTAGGACTTTGCAATAGATGAGAAGGTAGGCAGGGAATGTGAATATACAGAGTCCATCTTGAAGAACTCTAGTTACATACCTAACTTTCATTTCTTCTTTGAACACTCTTTGTATATTTCCAATCTTGGGATAATTTCACAAGCAGTTTTTCAAGAATGGATGGGGGGATACAGAGTCTGAATTAACAAGGAATTAAGTACTGCCCTGCTAAATGGAGCATTAGGTCTGTCAAATCTAATGCATGATGTTCAGTGAAAATGGGAACTGAGTCCCAAGTGCAGATTTGCAACAATTTAGTAAGGGAAGGTGCCTACATATGTTGCAGAAGTAGCACCACTCTTGTAAATTGAGTCCTAATACGAGCAGAAGAAGAGATGGAAGATATGTTATGCAACTCTTTTACATGACTACTCGATCTAGACAAGAACTGGGCAGAAATTCCTTGGCCCTGACAGTGTCCAGCAAGGGAAATAAACAATTTCAAAGAAACACTAAAAACCCTAGGCCTGCCTGGGTAATATGAGAAAACAATTTTGGTAGCTAAATAACACAATTTAGATTCAACTTTATATGCAGGGGCTATAGGTATGAAAATTAATAATACACTGATTAACATGAAAATCTGAACATACTTTAGAAAAAAAATCTGAGGTGAGGTCTAAGAACCTCATGGTCTTTCTGAAAAACTGTGTAAGCAGGATTTGAATGACAGTTCTCATGCTGCCAGTATTAAAACATCCATAGAACTTCTAAATGCCATTTATTATCTAGTATGATGAGAGATACAAACCCTACACTAGACAACAAATGAATGAGGAATTATTTTGGGCTCAGTCAGTCCTGCCCTGCCACACTTGCAGCAAATGCTCCATCTGTTGGAGCAAATAAAAGGCAAGGAATTAGCTCATTTGGGTGTTAGAGCTGGCAGTGAGATCTATAGTCCAAAGTGCCAGCAGAGAGAAGCCCAAGACTTTGATACAGCCAGCCGCCTAAAGCAGTCTTGTGGATAAGGGAGAAGCGGTAGATGTGGTATACCTAGACTTTAGTAAGGCATTTGATACGGTCTTGCATGATATTCTTATCAATAAACTAGACCAAAACATCTTAGATGGGGTACTATAAAGTGGGTGCATAACTGGCTGGATAACTATTCTCAGAGTAGTTATTAATGGTTCACAATTCTGCTGGAAGGGCATAAAAAGTGGGGTTTCAAAGGGGTCTGTTTTGGGACCAGTTCTGTTCAGTACCTTCATCAATGATTTAAATATTGGCATAAAGAGTACATGTAAGCAGACCACTTATTGGAGTCTCTATCAATGCCCCGTTTATTGTGATCTCGCCATCCCCATTGGTATCCTCCTTGGCACCTAAAGTACCAAAATAAATCAAGTTTCTAGCAGCGATTACAGTTTCCGGATCAGAGACACCTGACCACAAACGGCAGGG